AGATACATAGGGCACATATTTTACGTTCACTAGCTGCGATGATTTAGGTTAATTATCCTCTGTAATCTTTCTCATATGAAAATGATGGTGAAATCTTTTTTCAAAGGTTCCTGGAGAAGTAAGGCATTGCAAAGCCCTCATCACAGGACCTGACATTTAAAGAGTGACTCCACTCCTCGGATGGGGTAGTGGTATCAGTTTGTGGACCAAGGCATGGGCACTCTGGCACACATCTCTGTTGTGTTTGCCACCTGATTTAAGTTACACCTGCCTCAGTATTGGCTGTTTGAAACCAAGTATGTAACCTATATCAAAATAGGCCCCAAGTCATCTAATTCACTGACATTATAGAAGACAGACACTTTCACTAAGTTAGCATCCTAAAAATAGAGTTTTAATGTGGGTGGTCAGTCTTAATGGATAATGAAAGGGCAAGTAGACAACTCAACACATTTCCAAATTAAACATTCTAACACAATCCAAAGGTATACTGATTTGATGGTTACACGCTTGTGATTGTGCCTCCTAACTAAATCACCATTTCTCTGAGAGCAGAGAAACGGCAGTTCCTAACCTGCCAGTAATTCAGGTGTCTCAGGGAGAGTTCACTCAAACCAGGATGGAAAGGGCCAGCATTTCCAAGAACGTATGAAATGTTCCTAAACACACCTCTGTCGTTTCCTACTACTCATTCATGGCAACTCAGTCTCAGCTCCAAGTCTATGAGCAATGTATGGATCAACTCCAAAAATGTTGAGGAGGGACCCTCCGCACTGACAACAAGGGGGAGCTCATGGACCCCAGACTGAGAGCTGGGAATCCAGTGTGGGACAGACCCAGACCCCCTGAACGTGGGTCTCAGTTAGAAGGCCTGGGCAGTCTAAGGGACCTCAGACAGTGGAACCAGGATGTATCCCTGGTTCATGAAAGGACTTTGGGAGCACATTCCCCATGGAGGGATACTTGACAGATTTTGATGATTCTTCCTAGAAGGCATCACCCCCCCCCCCCCGCTGGGAAGTGGATGGGGAATGGGGATGTGGGTGGTTGGGGGACATGGGAGAGAGAGAACCGGGATCAATATCTAAAATAAGGAAAAATATAAAATAAGAAAGATATAATCCTTTAGGTAAAAAATTAAACACATCTACTTCATTCATCAGTACACTTGCTTTCATCTTTATATGTACACCAAAATTGTTTACAAATAAAATTTTTCATAAATGTTTGACTTACATCCTAATTTCTATATGTCTGGGACTCTGTTTCAGAACACACAGAATTAAAGTATCGGCTCTAATTTACTGGACAGGAATTAACATGCTGAATCAATATCAAGAAAGCTATTTTGCTGAGGATTTTATCCAAAATGCAGCTGCGTTTTGAGACAAGATCTTGCTATGTTGCTGAGGCTAGCCTAGCCTTTTGCCTCAGCCTCCCGAATGCTAGGTTACAGGAAGGAATGTGCCACCCTGGACTCCTGGTTCTTTTTACTCACGCCCCCCCCCCTTCATTTTAGATGTATTTCACTGCTGAAGAACTCAGTTAGTAGCAAATATGTTAATAAAGATGTAGACCAATTCAAGTAAAATGTCAAAACATACACTTTCTATTTTCATGATAAAAGTAAAACTTGGCAAAAATTTTCCCACAGGTCTAAGACAGTTGCAAAAGAAAGGAGAAAGGACTGAGCGAAATCAGGACACCTATCACATTGGGCAGCTGGGCATCGAGACGCTGGGCCTCACCTGTCAGTCTGCATTACAGCCTGCGGTGGTGGTTCTAGACCTTCCTGGCGCTGTGACCCTTTAATTCAGTTCCTCATGACCTGCTGACCCCTAGCCATACAATTGCGTTCTTTGCTTTCATAAGTGTAGTGTTGCTACTGTTATGAATCCTAATGCAGCTATCTGTGTTTTCTGATTCTTAGGTAACCCCTGTGAAAGGGTCGTTTACCTTCCAAAGGGGTCACGACCTACGAGATCAGAACCCCTGGCTTGAAGCTTGTTAATGCTTGCTTGCACTAAGAATAATGAAAACATCTTTTAGTAAATTAAATCAGGATACCCCAATACTTTTTTTTTTTCTTTTTTTAAGTAACGGCTTTACAAGGCTGTGAGAAGACCTGAGAGGCCCCGACCTTAAACAGAAGGGAGCGATCCGGGTGTCCCGGACACTTCAAAGTGCCCTGAACTATTTCTACTTCCAAATCAGTGTCTCTGATCTCCCGTTTGGGCTGTTGCTTCTTTCTAACACTCAGCAAATCTGAAATGTGTCTTTAGATCCCACTCTTGTTACTGAACAGTCTGCAACCCAAGCCCCGCCCCTTCTTTCCAGCCCCCCCCCCCCCCGTATTTGCTAAGGGCATCCTTCCCTTCCGACTATGGGCACTGCCTTTAGTCCTTTCCTTCTCTTCACTATACAGCCTTCTAAGCAGCCTTCCTGTTTACACCCTGCCTCTTCCTGTCACCGCAGATGCAGCTGAACAGTGATTATTTATGAAACAGTTCACCCCCATCCATCCGCTCGGTTCCCGCTGTGCCGAAGCGGACTCCTTCCTAGGAAACACTGGCGCTGAGCACACCTGCCCTCCTGCCGTCCCACATCTCAAGCCTCTTCTCCTCTAAGGTTCAGATGCTGCAGACAGACTTAGGATTTCCAGAGACTTAGGTTCACTCTCATTTTTTTTTAGAAAAGCCAGCAATAATGAATCGTTTTAAATTTCATTTTTCTTGTGTCATCCGTTTTGTACTTGACCCTTTTTGGTCTACTGTACTTTGGACAGCAATATAAAATATGAGTTTAAAAGAAAGGAGTCTGAGGGCGAGCCAGGGCTAGCCTTTGATCCTAGCACTCGGAAGGCAGAGGCAGGAGGATCTCTCGAGTTCAAGGCCAGTATGGTCTACAGAGTGAGTTCCAGGACAGCTAGGGCTACACAGAGAAGCCCTATTTTGAAAAACCAAAAGTAAATAAATTAACTAAACAAAATAAGCGTTAGAAGATTTCCTATGGATCTTATATATGTAAAATACTGGCATTTACTTAGAAGCGTTATAGCCACATCAGAATAGGCTGTTGATATTAAATCTGCAAACCCAGCCTGACTCCCTGACTCTGCTTGGAAAGACTATCACCAACATTTGTATCAGATTTTAATCCACACGGCGATCACCTAAGATGCTGGGGCAAGCTGAGGCCGACTCAGAGCTGAGAGCTGGAGCCGAGGTTTTAACACGTCTGCACAGGTGATGCTGGCCTCATCAGCTCACCTGCACTTAGCAAGTGGTGAATCAACTTCTCCATCCTACAGAATTCTGCAACTGTCCCCGTAGTTTTTCTTTAAGGTGGGACTCATTACGCAGTCCCAGCTCTTGTAGAACTCCAAATTCCACCTGCCTCTGCCACCCCAGTGCCCAGATTAAAAGCATGGGCTACCTTGCCCGTTTTTGCTCAGTAATTGGTAAAAAAAAAAAAAAAAACTTCCAAGGTGAAAGGCTGTTTAATTACCCTGGACTTCAGCTTAGTCACTGAGAGTTCTCAACGAAAAGCCACGAGCGTTTGATGTGAACCTTTGCTCTAACATATATTCACTGGTTTATTAGATTTCATTTTAGTGCTAGAGATATAACAGCAGCAACTTATGCCCTGAGATTAGAATCCATTACAAACCAGGCCCTAAATTTAAGAGCTGTAATGACTTCCTTTCTGTATTCCTATTATGTTATTTAATAAAAGTTTTACTATTAAAGCTAAATACTAAGATGAAATGACAATCCGAGAGTTATTTTTAGAAAGTAAAGATGTATCATGAATGTATCAGGTTCTAGGCATCATAGGAAAAATCTAAAGTTAACAAGTTTGTCAAACGTTCCATAACTCCAAACGTATTCCATCACAAAGAAGCCCATAGATTAACAAATACTTAAGTTTACATCACTGATCCAGGCTGCAGACAGAATTCCTAATCATGTGCTAAACTGAGTTTTTAAAAAAAATAAAAGTTGCAATTCCACATCTCCAAAGTTCCAGATCTAAGAAAGCCACACCCAAAATGTACAGTAAAATAAAAATAGGCTAAATAGCCGGTGGTGGGTGTCGCACGCCTTTAATCCCAGCACTCGGGAGGCAGAGGCAGGCAGATCTCTGTGAGTTCGAGACCAGCCAGGGCAGGTTCCAAAGCTACAGAGAAACCCTGTCTTGAAAAACAAAAAACAAACAAACAAACAAAAAAAAAACCAAACCAACAACAACAACAAAATAGGCTAAATGATAATTTGTACAAATACCTTATCTACAATTAGGACTACTAGACTACAGTTTCCCTGTAGTCATGTGAGTCACCCAACTCCCTGAATATGATTTCTTCACACATAATAACATAGACCAGTAAGAATGTAGCAGCACAGGCTCGGTGTCAAAGTGTAACACTGGCCGAGTCACCGTGAGTAGAACACGGCATACCAAAGAACTTTAGTTCAGAGTGGAGAAATGCCCAGGTTTACCACTCCCCAGCTACGCAGTCAGGAAACCACACGCTCTCATCTCATCTTTAAGGCCCTGAGACCATGAGGACCCCTAGCAGATCAGACCTCTACCGCCTGAAGATAACTGTGCGTCTACAGAAAGCATGGCTAGAGCAGAGAGGACAGGAGTGGACAAGAGTGTCGCTAACATCGACCGCGTTAACCAGTCCCCGAAAGAAAACATTTTAGGCTTGGCTTTAGTGACAGTTCCGCTACCACTTTCGTAATTATAGCCGAATCCTGAGAAAAGAAAGTAGAAAGGGCTGAGAAAATGGATCGTTAAATGAGATGCTAAAACACCATGTAGAATAAAAGTTAACTCCATGAGAGATTAAAGCTATTTACAAGGAAAGCCACGGGCTTTAATGATCAAACCCAAACAACAGCCTTATACTTTCCCTCCTTAGACATACAAATCCTCATTTTCAGGTATTTAGGGGGGAAAAATTACTCCAATCAGAAACCATAATGCTTGGACACTCTTTTCTTTTGGTTTATTTAATTTGAATACATGTCCTGCCAACCAGAAAACACCAGTGTGACCGACACACACACACAAGAAATCCCAGCACGACCAACACAGCCAGGCTCTTGGCCCAGTCAGGGAAAGCAGAGAAGAGGCAACAATAAAGTGTCAGTCTTAATCCTCTTCAGAACTGGAGTCATCCTCCTGGTCAGAAAGTTCCGGCACCGGGAATCGGAGAATGGCAGCTACTCCCGTCAACTGCCCAAGCTGTTCGCCAGACACATGGAGACTAGAGAATATCCGAACCGTGCCTGCGTTGTCTTTCACGCTGTCCACCAGCCTGACATACCGGCTCCTGGTGGCCACGTCCTGGTGCCGGAAGAGCTCATCACTGATGAGCAACGTGTCGATGGCCAGGGCTTCGTTGGCCCTCTCCACCTGCTTGAGTCCGTAGAAGGCTCGGTCAGGTTCGTGCTGCAACATTTTATAGAAGTCATCCAAAGCTTTCACTTCCCCCGCGGCCTTGGTGTCTGAGAGGCGGCTGGCTACAGTAGGGTCGCACAGGGCCTCTTTCAGGGAGTACTTGTGTCCAGAGGAGGCGTGCACCTACAATCAGTCACAGAAGAGGAAGAATCTCTGAAAGCATCCATTAACCAGCCCGCGACGGCGTGAGACAAAAGCGTGCAAAAGGCGCTTTACCCATTTAAGGACTTTTGCAAAGGCTACCCTAGACAACTACACCGTTCTCTTTACCGATTCGCTCACAACCCCAGCCAATAGGGAGGGGGGTTAATTAAGCCTTCTGCTCCTCCCCACCACCACCACCACCCAGTGCTAAAACGCTAGGAGCCGCTCACACCAACCCCTCTGCCCACTGCTGACCACCTCCGGGGTAAGCAGCGTTTTTACCTGCAGGAACTTGGACCGGTTCTCCAGGAGCATTTTGTTGTCAGTCTTCACCGCCTGCTGAAACATGTAGTCGCAGAACTGCTCCCGCACGAACCCGGGGCTGGCCACCAGGACGCACTTCACCACGTCAAAGTTGATGTGGCGCTGGATGGCCTGGGCCACCTGCTCGTAGAACCTCTCCAGGGCCCGGTCGTGCTGGGAGCAGTTGCCTTTCCGCTTCCTGGGGATGCTCACCTCCACCTTGGCGCGGGTGAGGGTCATACTGGGCGTCACCAAGCAGACGTGGGCGAGGCCCTCCTGCATGACCACAGCTGCCACATCTGCACTCCACGCTGGGTCGCAGGCCTGCTCGATGCGTTCCAGAACCACACTGTCCCACTGCTTCTTGGCCAGGGTGAACTGGCGGTTGGGCTCCAGTTCGATGGTGTGGTAAGCCCCCATCTTGACGTACTCGTTCTCTTGGATGTTGGTGCCCTTGACTCGCAGCTGGCAGGCCTGCGAGTCGAAGTCGATGGCCTCCACGCACAGGGTGAGGGTGGTGCGGACGCGGTTGCTCCCCACGCTGCCCGTGGAGGACTCGGTCTGCACCTTGCGGATGGTGGAGGCGCGCAGGCTGTCGCCCACCTGCACTAGGTTGTAGGTGTGCCACATGTCCTCGGGCTCCTCGGGGACCAGGGTCACCTGGCCCGCGTTGTCCTTCTCGATGTTCTTCCGCACAAGCTTCATGGCCTCGCCGGGGGGCTCCCACGCCGAGGGGGTCCCCAGGACACACAGGGGCGGGGCGGGGCGCTCCTAGGCTGGGGAGGCGACAGGAGAGTAGCACCACCTCTGGCCCCTGCAGCGCGGCGCGCAGCTTTGCCCCCACGCTCTCCCGGGCCGCCGCGCTGCAGACCCCCACGCTGCGCGCCCTGCAGACCCCCGGCACTCTGGGCCACCCGCGATCGGTCGCGCAAGTGGCTGACGCGGCGATCGCACATGCGCAGCCCGCTTCCCGGCGCACGTCTGTCGTCCCGACCGGAGGGGCGGGGCCTGGCGCTGGCGCGCGCACGCAGGCGCAGTATAACAGGAAAGGCGCACCCTGGCTCAAAGTCCAGGGAGGAGCCAGGCGCTCTTGCCTTATTAAAGCCGAGCTCGGATCAAGCTGAGTTTTCCCACGCATCCCCGAGAGCTGCGGGAGTATGAGAGTGCCGACATATGTTTATAAACTGAGTTTGCCACTTTGCACCTCCTTCCTTGCGGTGCAGCCAGCCTCAAAACGCGCGTAAAAGAGCCCAGATCAAGTGCAGGCTTAGCCCCCCCCCCCCCCCAGAAGTCCAAACTCTGCCTGTCCTTGTGCATTCATTCCTTCCCCGCACTCAGACGTGACGCGCGCTTGCCGGCGCTGGGGTTTCCAGAAGCAGTTTCTAAGAACTAGTCACGTTCGACCCGGGCTCAGCAACATGCCCAGCTGTTTTCTGCGCCTGGTTACCCTGTTTGCGCGACCCAGTTAACCCAGATGTTGAAGGACAGAGCCCAGAGAGGGCAGAAACTATGCGTGGAATGTACCCCTGGTGGACCTCTGTGTGGCTTGACCTGATGTCCTGGGAATCCCAGAATCCAGAATTGGCAGTCAGCTCTCCGAAGGCGCAGTAGCTTCTGAGAAGCTCAGTGTGGGAGCTGGGCTGCAATAGATTAGCACTGATCTTCCCTTCCAAGGACTGGCCAAAAGCGGAGGCTGTGGGAAGATAAACTGATCCACTAATTGTGACCGCCCTCCAAAGAAAAAAGAGCCATAGAATCGGTTGTAAAGGAAAAGAAAACCCTTACATTCCCACCCCACCCCCAAACCCCGCTTTTTCACGGTGGCCATGGGAATTTGGGAATGCCTCTTTCTTGAGATTGAAGACATTGGGAGGCAGACAAAGTCGTGAACTCATACTCTGTCTGCATTTTAAGGATCTTAGATTAAAGTTCTTCAGCCTTAATTGAAGAGACCTGGCTTAAAGAGAATCATGTTGACTGATGGAACCTGTATTTCTTAGAGATTGCCAGGGACAGGGAGGGGGGAAAGGCCCTTCCAAGGCAACAGTACAACAGTATAAGTTAGAACCTTTACTTGTAGATCTCAGGAATCATATTTCGTTTGTTTGTTTTTGTTTTTCTGAGACGGGGTTTCTCTGTGTAGCTTTGGAGGCTGTCCTGGAACTTGCTCTGCAGACCAGGCTGGCCTCGAACTCACAGAGACCCACCTGCCTCTGCCTCCCGAGTGCTGGGACTAACGGTGTGCACCACCATCCCGCCCAGAAATCCTAGGAATTTGTACACTGTAGCTGGTCATCCTATGATCAGTACTTCACTCTGTCTCTTTTGTCTATCTGGAAGGGACAGCTGAAATGTCTCCTACTGAAACCACGCCCCTTTTTGAACTCGTCCAGAAAAGTTTTTTGCTTGCAGTGTCATATGTAGTGGTATGGTAAGCTAGTCAGGCAGGGGTAAAGTGTGACATCCGTATTAACTTTCCAGACACTTCTTAACACTCAGATATCATTATCAAAAGTAGTTCATTTCATTTAAAAGTGACCGTTTAAAGCTCTATTGTTATAGACCATTTTATTTTTATCTCCCCTCCAAATCATCAAAATATCATTAAAAAAAAAGAAAAAGAAAAGTAAGACTAAGCTTTAGTTTTGCTACTTGAAATTGTCATTTGTGCTTGCTTACTGGCTTTTGAAAATAGAAACCTTCACACGGGTATTTCTAATTTTGTCTCGTTTTCCTATCACGTTCATAGAAATCTTTCCTGAAGAAGAAAAAAAGTCAGTCACAGCTGTCACCTTCAAACAATTCGGGCGGGTCTGCTGTTTCTTGGACACTGGGAGGGGAGAATTGGAAGTCAAGGGAACCGTAGCTCCCACCGTTTGATTATTTGTTCGTTCTCTCTGTAACTTTTGGCCCACGCGGTCTGTTTGGAGCTCAGTTTCTCCTGCTTGACAACTGAGGGAACCGAAGCCAGTCGCTGAAGTCGCAGTTGTAAAAAATTATGCTGTGTCAACTCAAGGAAAGCAACACCTATGAGATTTGTTTTCAGTCTTCTACACCCATTTAAATCTGACTCCTTCCGAAACCCATTTTAGTGCTTTGAGATTGAATGTTTGTTTGTCTGTGCTTCAGGAAGTGGTACGAACTGGGCCCACAGAATATCAAAGTGGGCTGAAGGTGCCTGCTGCCAAACCTGAGTTGGATGCCCAGACAGAGGGAGAGCGATGGCTGGAGATTTGCCCTCTAGCCTCCACACACATTCTGTGGCACACTTGAGCTCCTGCACAGGTCCACACAAAATAAATAGATGTAAATAAAAGGGGGGGGGTTAAAAAAGTAAACAGGCATTGGTAGGCTTGAGTGGCCTTATTAGCTGGAGTCCATCTATGCTGGTCTCTACACGTTTCTGTTTTGCTTTTGTGTGTGTGTGTGTGTGTGTGTGTGTGTGTGTGTGTGTGTGTTCACTCTGTATTAAAAGTAGACGGTTCCTCTTCTATTGACAGTCTTAATGTCCTAACAGGAATTTGCTAGCTGGTAGATTTACAGAGTTCTGTAAACAAGGCACTCTGGTAAATCTCTACAAATGCCTAGCTGGAAGCTAGAAATCAGAATCCCACACAGCCAAGTGTCGGAGTTGATCTGAACAGGCTCCCGCTGGAAATAGCTGTCTTGGGAGAGTTCACCGAAGGAAATCAGACGGTGTGCAGTTACTTAGGTAACACATTTCACAGCTGTGCTAGTGAATGGAATTGTCCACGTACCTCACTGTGTATGGCTGGGCTGGTTCCTATTAAAATGATATGCCCGGAATGGTTTGTGTGATGGCAATGAGGATGCTGGGCGCTTGAAAGATGAGTGTCATGCGTGAATATTTGGTGCCTGGCATTACATCTTGCCCTTGTTATTCATTTAGATTTGGTGGGGGCGGGACATTGTTTTTGGTTTTGTGTCCCTTTCTGGCAAGATTTACTTTGCTGAAGTGCCCCTGTGAGTATATACACCCCAACATCACTACTCTCTGTCTGTTGTGTCCACCAGGCCACAGAACACCTTCTTTATTCCCCAACACAAGCGATGAACACTAACATGACACACACGGAAGAGTGAGCAGCTATTCCCTAATTCGGGGCTTTTAACTCGACTGTCACTCAAATCCTAAACATAAGAAATTGCTTTGCATTTTATGCCGTTAGTAAAAGCCAACATAAGATTGTACTTAAGGTCAACATCTATAAGCCTATTGCAGTTTTAAAGATATCAGTACTTACAGAGGAAAACAGTGATTTTTAAACACACCTTCCTATGACAAATATTATAATATTTTTTAAAAAAATAAGCGATAGTTGAATCTATTATACATGGTTTGAACTGTGATCTTTACAGCAACATAAGCAGTAAGAGCTCTGATTATTAATAGCTGGGGACAAATGCTACTTTTTAAATAAAGAAAATGGGCCAATTTTAAGCTGTACAAAGGCTCTTGGGTGACCTCTACAAGCAAAGTTAAATGGGCGATAGGGAGGGAGGGCTGTTCAGCCGATTATAGGGGAAAGGGGAGAAGGGGAAGGAGGAAAGACTTTTAAAAGAAACTTCTTACACTCACTACTTAAACTTCGTATTAACTACAATGGCTGATGTGGTAAAGTCAACAGTCTAATGCTCACCCACCTCCCCATCCCCCATTGACACTTCTGTGTGTGGGGTATGCACATGCCGTACACATGTGAGCTAGTGCCTGTATGTTTCTATGCGTCTGTGTAATAAGGGAACATTCTTGTAAAAAAAAAAAAAAAACAGTATCATAAAATGTTTAATGAATATTTTAGGGCCTACAGTCTAGTGAGTGAATTCACTCCCCAAGTTCATCAAGTGTGTATTAAGTTGATGTGAATGCCTGGGATGTGGAGGTAAGAGGGTGTGGAGTTCAGTCTTCCTCACCCACATAGTGAGTTTGAGACTCATCTGGTCTACATGAGACCTTGTACATACAAATGTAATCTATAATAAAATATGAAAAGCTTTATCAAAAAAAAAATCAAGAGTTGCCATTTATTTCCGTAGAGCTCCAGTAATTCACGCAGGAATATGTGGTTTTATTCCTGATATTTAAATTACCATTTTCTATTTATCCAGGTATCTTAGCTGTTGATAGAACCCATGTGTTTGGAGAGAGCGGGCTTTTGACATAAGAGCGTATGCATTGCTATTTTCCTTGAAACTTAACTGACAGAAAGAAAGTAAGTAAAAGATAACTGACTTTTTGAAGTTTCCTGTTAAGTCACGGAAAAGACCACACTACAAATAGGCCCTTCATACATGCCCAGCGCCACCACTCACGAGCTGGCCACAAAGTCCACAGCCTGCCATCCCTGGAACCCTTGGTCTCTAGTACTCCCCCTTTCCTCCCTACGGAAGCTGTTCCCAGGAAGCTCTGGAGGAAATGGTGAGGCTGGCGACGCCCGAGGGGCAATCAGGCCTTCAGACACAGGCTGGGCTGAGAACAAGCGAGAAGAGAGGTCGTGTCCATATCCGGGTGTTGTATTAGCCTCTTTGAAATCTTAAGATGCAGTTTTCATGTTTAATTTTTCTTTGCTGGTTGTTGTTGTTGTCGTTGGGGGGGTTGTTTTGTTTTGAGAGAGGGTCTCACTGTGCAAGCCCCAGCTACCTTGGAGCACACCATATACACTAGCCTGGTCTCGAGTTCCTAGAGACCGATCTGCTTTTGCCTCCTGAGTGATGGGATCAAGGGCATGAACTACCATGTCCAGAGAAGATGCAG